GTTGTCATTGTTGTGATTTTTATGTTTTATGTTTTACTATTATCATAAGTGAACAGGGCTGAGTAGTTGTTATTTGATCTATATGATATATGAGATATTTCATGTAGAATGAAAGGCATAGATATTAGAGGTGATATGTAGTAAGGACAAGAATAAGCCGAAAGCTTTATGATTACTTACGGAAGTGTTGATAGTTAAATAGGTTTCACTTCCAAATGCTGAGAAAATTATATTTATGTCCAACTCTAACTCGTGACAAATGGATGTTACAACTGTTGTCAAATAGTTGCAATAACCATGCTACAGTGCCAAAGCGTAGCAGAATTTGAACATATTGCTATTGCTTTGTATATTGGGATGATTTCATTATGCTTAAGAGAATATAATCTAAAAGGAAGTAAGGAAAATCAGCCATACTGGCGTTAGGCGAGCACAAGGGTAGTGCCATAGGCCGCCCGAAATTGTGTTTCTGGTCGCTCACCAGTTGCAGTAACTCGCTCGTATTTGGTTTGGGTCAGTCTGGCTCTCACCCGCTACGTGGGGAATGACGTGTCCTTGCGCACTAATGGAATAGAAAGACCAGTCAATGAGGGAAACCACGTTCTCCATGGTTATAGGAGAAGTAATGGCTCCCACGTATTCCATGCTCTTGAGGGAAGAGAGGGAATAACTACTTCCTGGGTCTAAAGATCCCGGCCCAAAAGGTCTCTATAAATACCTCAGCCTTAAGTTTGAGGAGGGATCGAATCATTTTCGTCCAGAAACCGCATATACTGAATTTCTCATCACTCTGCGTGAGTTAGCTTTAAACACCATCAACAACCCTCCAAATACAGGGTACTTTTTAGCAAGTTCACTTTGAGGCGTTCCCAAATAGCAAGTATAGTGGCGTTACAACACTGTAGCGTGGCAAAATTTGTACAAACTGATATCTTCCACAATCTGTTATTTGCATTGGATGTATCCTGAAAATACCAAGCATCTCTCTTCAATTTACACCTAACATAATCATGGACACTGCATGCTTCCATAATATTTTACCCCGTTGTTCCTGCCTCAAAGCCTATGAAAGCCATAGGAATGACTGATCCAAATGCAGAGAACATATGTGGTTCTCACAATATATTCTAACAATTTCTTTCTAGAAATAATTGCTGCTGGACTACGTAAGAATAATTGAGTAGAAGTTTTCAAGCTAGAACAACACATAATATATTATGGTTTTAGTAGAATTCCAGCAACATATTATATTGCACTCTCTTTCCAATTAGTTCTATATTGATTTGAATCTCATGTGGGCCCTCCTAGATAACCCATAGCCAGTATGTTAGTGCTCTCTACATGGAATTTCACACAATAATAGAGAAAAAGACTGTCAAAGAGTGTCCTGCTACCATTTCTTTTGGTTTCAATTCCATAAAAACAATTGACCATGTGAGGGTTGTCATGAAATACACGACTACCATTTCTTCTATGTATCCAACTCATATTCTCCTACATCATTCAACATCAAATATTTCAAATCACGATCAAGATACTACTAAGCAACACTACCAATCAGATACTCTTACTTGCATTATTGTTCTGTGGAAGCCATTTGATGACCTCCATGCCAAGAAGAATTTTGACCATAGCTTGTACTGCCATAATACTGTGACATGCTATTAGACTTTCATCATCAGATTGATTTATTTCAAGAGGGGCCAATGTAACCGTGCATCATCATGCAGTTCTTCATCAACCCATATCTCTTGTAAGTTGTAACGCTTGTTGGGGGGATGTCACATACTAACTACACAATTTAACACAGTTCTTTACCTTTCCCCTACATGCTTACATCCAAAGTCCAATATCAACACAATATTACTATATAATGTTTGTGAGTACACACTGACTCTTCTCTATCCCATATTACGTACTTTTGTTTTTGAGTTGTCCTTTCAACAAAGCTCATATCTTTGGCATCTTCGGCATCATTGAGTTGCCTTCCCAATCATGTCCTGTATTAGCCCGTATTCTACCTTTCCTTCTAAAAGACTTATTTGTAAAAAACTTAAGAAATTTTGTAAGTTTAGCTTGTGGGAAAGTATTAGAATGTATGGAACGTTCATCATGCTAACATTACAGTATCATAGGACATAGTTGACCTTTTATTAGAATTTGTTGAGACAAAGAAAGAGAATTGAATTACCAAGACTAGTGAAATCTAATTAGCATTATTCTTGTGAGGATTTGTAGATATTCATGGTGGGCTTTGATAGCATGCCATGAACCAACTATCCCAAAAACTTAAGCCATTTTAGTGAAGGGTCTGATACACGTTTTGAATTATTTCACAAGCATGAGCTATTAAATGAAGCACAAGAATGATTTTGTATTTGGCAAAGATCTTGGATTTCCAAAGGGTCTCTTTAAGTAAAATGTTTACTCATTCGGAGTTTGGGAAATGAACTGGAAGTAGCAGGAAGTTCACCGATAAGTCTGTTATTGCTAGTTAAGTTGTTACATGTTAGTTAAATATTCTTAGTTAAGAAGTTCTTACATGTTAGTTAAATAGTTGGTTATTAGTTAGTTAATTAGTTAATGGGTAGTCAGTAGTTCTATTGAGAGGTAGTTGGGCCAAATAAGGCACGCAGCCTATAAATAGAGAGGAATATTAGAGAGGGGATCTGTTAATTTGAGAGGAATAGGACCTTTAGGCATTGGGAGGTAGGCAGACCATCGAAGTGCTGCCACTGTTTGTAATCATAGGGGATTCTTCCCCATTTTCAGTTATATTATACCAGTTGGACTTCTATCATTCACACTTCTTTTGATGTTTAAAAATGGGAAATATTAATGTTTCAGGAATACTTGTTCGTTCATGTTTTTTTTTTTTTAAAGTTCCACACATAGATGAGATACATAACTTTTTATTCATCTATTTCTTTATATTCTAATGCAGAGAGCACTGGTTAGCTATCAAAAGGATAAAGCAAAGTTTGAGGAAGCTAGTGAATCACATGAATTGGATGCTCAAGGTGGTAAGTATGAACTTTCTTGCATCTATTTCTCTTGAAATTGTATGCCTTGCAAACTACAGTTATCAAATAGTTATCTATGTGAGTAATAAATGGAAAACTGAGTATGAAGGATTGGAAATTGTTTTATGTGGTAGATTGAGAAGTTGGAATTTGTTATACATGATTACTATTAGCCCAGCCAAATTACCACCCTTTTTGAGAAACCCGGGCAACGTTTACTATTATCTAATAATCTTCATGATCTTTTCTAGGCAGTTGAATGTGGTATACAGTATACTCATGTATCTTCATATTTGGTTCCTGGTCATGAACCCTGAACTAAAAAATGTGTTACTGTATTTCCTTACTTTTTTTAAAATTGATGATGTCTCATCTGGATGCTAATATTTGATGCATGATTTGGCAGAATGGGAGTTTGACAGCACTTCAGGCTATTACTACCATAAAACAAATGGATTTTGCTATGATCAAAAGTCTGGATTTTACTATTCTGATGCCATCGGTACGAGTGTTATACATCACATTTACATGTATATTATAGTAGTAATAGTATTGAGTTGATGCCATATTTTTGTTTACTTCTGAAATTTCAACAGGTAAATGGGTGACCCATGATGAAGCATATGCCTCACCTCACTTTGCATCAAATTCAGGACGGAATATACCATCTGGAAAAAAGGGATCAAAACATTTACAATCTAACTTAGTTGATACCAAACCAATCAAACATCATGATGGACTGTTACCTGGGCCTGTTCTTAGAGTGAATCCCATGAGAAATGCAAAAGCCGCCCCGTCATCTCTTGCTGTTGGTAAGAGAAAAAGACCCTATGAAAAATCTAAGGTTGTCTCCCAAGAAGAAAAAGAAGCTCTCAAGGCAAGAGAGGCTGCAAGGAAAAGAGTTGAACAGAGGGAAAAACCATTGCTTGGGCTTTATAACAAGCCTTACTAAGTGTGGAATATTTGCTAACACTCTTGTCTTTTCCCAAAAAATTGAGGGTTATACTTCTTTATGCCTGATTGGTTTATGCTGACATTAACCGCGTCTTAGTTCCCAAGTGTTTCATTTTCTTGTGAATGCACCTTGTAAAATATGTGTAACAGTTCCATTTTTATGCAATGCATGTTAAACTTCTGACGTATTTATACGTGTGTTTTGGGAAAGTGTTGAAGGAGAAAGTAACTTCGAAATCTTATTTTAGTGAGGCTGATAAAACGCATGTGAAATGATCCTTGTTGCAGTCATTTTTCAGAAATATGAAGAAAAAAAAATCTAGTGTAATTAAAAATATGTAGTTCGATACTTGTGTAATACAACGATATGAAAGCGTTCATTGAACATATTTTACAAGTTTACTATTTCTGCAAAACCATATGAATCATATTTTTTAACCCTTGACAATGTCTCAATGAAATTACATCAACTTTGTCATATAAAATGTCAGAAGTGTTTGTCCTTGCTTTTGACACAATTATGAGGCAGACACCGAAGTTGTGAATTTAAGTTGACTTATTTTCGAGGAATCAGTTTTACAAATTTCCAGTTTTATATGTTTTACAAATTTTTATCTCAATGGTTGATTTAATATTTTTTAGCATCCAATGTTCATAATTTAACATTCACCAATGACCCGTTTATAAAGTGACTTCCGTTTATAAAGTGACTTCTGTGTACGAGGGAACCGACTTAGGTGACTTTTGGTAGGAAAGTTACCACAACTTTGGTATAAATTGTGTTGTGTGGGGCAGGAAAAATAAATAATAAATTTTAAATAAATGAAAATAAGCTAAATATGAGAGAGACAAACAAAGTTACAGTGACTTTTGTGGTTTAAAGTCACGAAACCTTACCTAGTATGTAAGGCTCGAGAGATTATTCGGAAACCGGTCCAATCCGACCTACCCAAGGGGCCCGATAGTAAGCGGTTCGGGTCAAACGGTTTATCGGATAATCGGTTTTGCAAGAAATGGATTCATATGGATTGTACCGGTCGGTTTCGGATAATTTGTTTGGGTCCATCGAAATCCAAAACCGACCGGCCTAGGTTACAGATTTTGTATTTCATTTTTCTTTTCAGTTTCACAGTCTCTCTCTCTAATCTCTATGTGCTGCTACTGCTAGGGTTTCACCGTCGCCGTTTACGACCGTCTTCTATCACCATCGCCGTTTACGATTCTCAAGCACCACCATGCCACCACGCCGGCCACCACGAACCACCAGCGATCAAGTAAGTTCTTTGTCGTTCTCTTTCTCCTTCTCTCTCTTTATCTCTTTCTCCTTCTCCCTCTTTCTCTCTTTCTCTATCTACCTACCTCTCTCTGTTCTTCGACTGTTTTTACCAATTGCTGCTCTATCCAAGAATCTGATAATCCATTTTTCCACAAAAGAAATAAACAAATTAGTACTTACCGAGAATGGTACTTTCTGCCCCTTCTCTTTCTTTGTGTGTGTATGTTTGTTCGTGTGACTCCCGAATATCTCACAGTCATGACATTTTTACTGATGTCAAAAAGCGGAAGTTTTTGGGTTGTTTGATTTGTTTGTACTACATGTTTGGCTCTCTGTATGATTGTTCTTTATTGGTTATTGGTGTTTCCATGCATTATTGATGTGGTCACTACTAAATGACTATGGTGTTTCAGTAATAGTGAAATTTATTCATTGAGCCTGATTGGATTCCCCTGGGTTTTGGATTGTTCAGTTTATCTTGGCCATATTTGTTAACAACCTTACAAGCTAAAATGTCTGTCATGCTAGATGATGTAAGTAGTAGAAATCAAAACTCTCACTGTAAGTGAAGTGGTTTTAGAATTCTGTGCTTGATTGCAGGTTCAATTTCACCAATAGGCATCATGAATATGAAGGTGAGTTGTCACTTTTCCTTATTGCGACCTGAATGTGAATATGCAATACATTAGAACAAAAATAGTATTAGGGTTTGGAAGCATTGATCTCAAAATATTGGTTTGGAACTTCTAACTGGTCTGGCTGGCAAACTTATGTTGCTAGAAGGATGTAACTTATATGACTTCTGAATTCCTTTTGGCTGATAAGTACTAGAGCTATTATATATAATCTGATTGTAGCACTTGAGTCTTATTGGAGTTGGTTAGGATGTAAGTATTGATTAAATTTCCATTCATCTGGATACACGGCCCTAACAGAAGCACATTCAAATTACTGACATATTTAAGCTTTGTTTTGGATGTTTCAACTTCAAATACACATCCACATTTTGGGACTTATTTTAGTTCTGTTAGGTTGTTTCAATTTCACTCAATTGTCTCTACTATTGATCAAATTTGTGATCAATAATGTTCTAATTATATGTTTTTAACTGTGACATTTACCTGCATTATTATTTATCAAATATTATTTGTTACCATATACAAAAAGTGCAGCTCTCTTTCCTCCTAGTCTTCTTTGTACCCTTGGTTGCATGCACATATAAACATTACTTCATTTACCATGGTTAGTATCTTCTTTGATCTGAAAGTAAGAACTTGCTTCTTTAGATACTACTAGTAGCTCATTTTCCATCAACTTATATAAAAAAATGTGCAGCAAATTAATGATGAAGTAAGCCATAAGAAAATCATATGTCAAGTTGACATTATAAAAATAAATTTGGTGACATTTTGTTAAGGGAAACTATGTTTCTGTTTTTTTTTCTTCTCTTCCATGGCCCTATAACGTGGATGTTTTGAGTTTATTAGTTGACTTAAATAATTTTTTTATGACTAATTAAATATATTTGGACATCTAAAAAATGTATTGATGGAAATAACTGTAGCAAATTTACACGTGATATATATAAAACACTTGACATGGGTCACACTGTTTTTTTATATTATCTTTTATTTTTACATTATAATGTAGTATCCTGATGCATGGTCTTGTCTTGCAGGTATTGTCAACCTTTAGTGTATGTTAAGTATCCTGATGCATGGTCTTGTCTTGCAGTTGCATGTATTGTCTTGTCTTACATGATCTTTTTTAGTCTAACATTTAAATTGTTCATGTAAGTAACTGTTTTAGACTATTCATATAGGACTAAGTGTTTTCGCTGACCAAAATATTTTCAGTGATGGAACATCCTGTTCCCTATGTTGAACCTACACAAGCAGTAGAAACCGCACTTCCTCCTCTCCCCCCTTCTAGGAAAAAAAGACTAGTTAATGCTAGTGGATCTAGGAAAACTTCCACCATTTGGTTAGACTTTAACATTTTGTCGGATGAACCTGAACCAATAGCTGCGTGTAAACATTGTCACAAAAGATATCGACGCGACCCTAAAACACATGGAACATCTAACATGTTAGCTCACTCAAAAGTGTGTCACAAAAACCCTAACCTTTTTACAGAAAGATCCCACTTAAAGAAACCTTGTAAGTGGTGAAGGTGGTTTTTTAGGTTCAACAAGCCAAAGATTCAATGCTCAAGCATGTAGGAAGGCTATTACTTCCTTTGTACTTCTTGATGAGCATTCATTTAGAGTGGTAGAGGGTGAGGGTTTTAAGAGACTATGCAAACAACTACAACCACAAATGACCATCCCTTCAAGGAGGACTGTTGCTAGGGATTGTTTTCAACTTTACCTAGCCGAAAAGTTGAAACTTAAAGCCTTCTTTAAATCTGATTGTCCTAGGGTTGCACTAACCACTGATTGTTGGACTCCAATTCAAAATCTTAGTTACATGGCCATAACTGCACACTTCATTGACAATGAATGGAACTATCATAAAAAGATTATCAGTTTTAGTTTAGTTCCAAATCACAAGGGTGACACCATTGGTAAGAAAGTGGAGGATGTTTTGAATGAATGGGGGCTTAGAAAAGTGTCAACAATTACCCTTGATAATGCAACATGTAATGATGTGGTCGTTTCTTATTTGGGAAAAAGACTTAAAAGCAAGAATGCTTTAGTTGGTGATGGGAGTTTTTTTCATATGAGGTGTGCTGCCCATATCTTAAACTTAGTAGTGAGAGATGGGCAAAAAGATCATGAATTGGCTATTGAAAGTGTTCGCGAAGCTGTTAGGTTTGTGAGGTCCTCACCACAACGAGCTTTAAAGTTTAAGGAGTGTATTGAAATTGTAGGGATAACATGTAAAAGAAAACTTGGCCTTGATGTTTCCACACGATGGAATTCCACATATTTGATGTTGGATGCTGCTGAGAAGTTTCAGGCAACATTTGAGAAGTTAGAGGATGAGGATCCTGGGTACATGGAATTTTTTAACCTCTCGGGTCCTCCTTGTTCTATTGATTGGGAAAAATCTAGGGCTTTTGTGATTTTTTTGAAAACATTCTATGATGCAACCAAATTGTTTTCATCTTCGCAAGAAGTGTCGTTACATTCTGCCTTTCATAATTTGTCTGAAATTTTGTGTAAGCTTCAAGAAGCTTCCTTGAACATGAATACCTATGTGGCTCCAATGGTTTCAAATATGAAGACCAAATTTGATAAATATTGGGGGGATGTTGAAAAAGTGAATCATTTCCTATATTTTGGAGTGATATTTGACCCTAGGTTTAAGTTCAGTTATGTTGAGTGGTCTTTCAATGACATGCATGGGGATGGTAGTCCAATTGCTAAGAAAAGTATCGAGTGTGTCAAGAAAAGTCTATTTACACTATACAATTGGTATAAATCTGAGCACAGTAAGAATGTTGAGGCTGCCCTCTTAGATGCACCATCCGAGAGCACTTCTCTTGGAGAAACAAGTACCCAAGCTAGAAAACCTACACTTTTTACAAGGGCTGATGCATTTAAACAACACTTGAAGGATAAAGTCATTGTTGATAATAAAAATGAACTAGAGAAGTACTTAGGTGATCCATGTTGGGTTGATGCTGAAAATTTTAACATTCTTAAATGGTGGAAGGAGAATTCAACTCGTTATCCTATATTAGCTACTTTGGTTAGGGATGTTTTGGCAACACCTGTTTCAAGTGTAGCATCTGAAAGTGCTTTTAGCACGGGTGGAAGGATTTTAGACATGTATAGGAGCTCTTTGAGTCCAGCAATGGTTGAGGCGCTTATTTGTTCTCAAAATTGGTTGATGCCTTCGGACGAGAATGATCCAAAAGTCCTTGATTTACTTGAAGAATATGACATAACTGATTCAATAGTTTCAGGTACATAGTTAATCCTTTTGTCCTTTTTAAAAATTATTTGATAAAGTTAAGCATCATCTCATTACAATTTTCTTATATGGTTGTAGAATTTCAAGTTGCTTGTGTTGTTGGAGCAGCTGCTCCTGGGCAGCCCGGCCCGATTTAATTAGCTTTTAGGTATGAAAAAATTAAAAGTTATATACTAACTATTTTCTAAGCCATAAACTGAATATTTTTTATATTTTTATGTGCAGCCACTTTTTTGGAGTCGTGAATGACTCGACTTTTTGAAGTCTGAACGACACAACTGACCTATATCAGTCTCGCACATCAATTCCCGCACATCACTGGATCCATTTGAAAATGATACAAGTTAATTTTTGGTAACTCTTTATTCATTTTGTTTTAATTCCTCCTTGTTTTAATTTTGTTTGTGAAATGTATGGTTCCAATCATTTTAATTTTGTTTTAATTCCTGAACACATGATTGTTGTTATTTTTAGCTTCCATCGCGCATATATATTCAGTTGGAATCAAAAGTGTCCAGAGAAGTTTCTCAAAGAATTTTTGGGGATGCCATGAGAATGGTGAGTTCTATTATAATGTTGTGTTAACTGTCCTTGGTAACCATATTGTTCCTGCAAATTTTCGATACACATTTCGTCATTAATTGTCCTTGGTATTATTATATTGATCTGCCCAAGCATTACTGTAGTTTGGCTTGTCAACTGTTAACCTTCGTATTTAAACCAGCTACAAGAAATGAACTTGATGATGTGCTAAAGTGATTTACAAAATTTAAAGAATTGACAAAATCTTACATTTGCCGTTAACCCTTTGTTTTGTGACAAAAGAGAGGCTAAAAAGAGAATAAAGGGGGTTATTAACTATAAACTGTGATATGAATGTGTCTGTGTCTCATTCATAGTAATTGTTGCCATATGTCCCTTTCTTATTTTGTTTAACTTCCGAAACATACTATTAGGTTGCACTTGATTATGCTTAATTGGCTGAATTACTGCACCAGTTTCGTCTTTCTAGCTTTTTCTTTATTCAATTAATTGTCTCATTTGTCTGTATAGAATTTTTCATGGTAAAAGGAACAAAATTTATGCCTTAGCAGAACACTCCTCAGGTCCCATTTTTGCTCTTCTTCTGCTTCTGTCTCTTCAATGCAACCTATCTTTCTTTCTCTGTTCTGCACAAGGAATTAATAGCCTTGTCTGAGATTTTTTGGGAACTACCTTACTTTTTTTCCTTTAAAAGTTTCATCCCCACCCATTTTGCTAGGCACAACAAAAACACTAGAAACATATCACTTTCCATGTCAAGCAAAGCAAGCTCTTTGTTTTGATTCAAGAGTCCAAATATGAATGTAAGCATATTTTCAATGACCCTTTTTTATTTTGTTAAAGGTGATGATGAGTAATGATTGATGGGTTATTGTTGTTTGTTATTGTTAGGAATATTGGAAGAGAAGTGGACAAATACCAGCTTCTGGAAACTGGGATATTGCGAACGAGTTACCAATAACTCAATACTTTGAGAATGCAAGACAAGCTGGTTTGATTCATTACAGTTCTTCATCCGGTGAAACTGATCTTTATGCGGTTGATCATAAGAAACCAGTTAGAAAGGTAACTTAATAGTAATAAATATTTTTTCTGCAATAGTATTTTGTCATGAGTGATGATGATGATGTGCCATTGTTAATAGTGCGATATCTGAAAAACACATGCTCCTATTTTTTAGTACATACTGTTTGCTTTCGATAAAAACAAGATATGTAATATAGAAAGAGTGTGTGATGTTTTTTGTGGTTTGTAATGTTATGTGTAGGCGAAGAGAATAAGGGATAGAAGATATACGAAATGTAAATACTGCAGAATCTCTTGTCTTGATGAAATTAAAGGCCTTTAACCTTATAACAGTGAAATGTGTTGTCCCTAACACCTGTGCTTGGACTAGAAATCTATAGCTGATTCTAGCAATGTTTGCAAAATGTAATTCTTCAACCATGATTAAAGAATTCCTGGCTGCATCTTTCTTCAAGCCATTTAGTGGCTAGAAAGCACATTCTGCATAAGCATACTTAGCACTGGTCTTAATCTAATCTCAATTTCTCATTTGGCAGAGGCGTTGTACGATTCTTTCCAAAAGGTCCCTCTTCATGCATTGTAGAAGTAAGGCCTTTCATACAATTTTACTAATTTCACTTTTTTTTCTATATTGATAACAATGCAATCTTTCTTGTACAACTGTTGCCGACTTACTTTGATCCCATATTAAGGGGGGAAATTGGGTTAAATCAATACCAATTGTAAATTTCTCAATGTAGTATTTGTCCAACTAGCTGCATCACATTCACTGCATGTTTCTATTGGGCCAAATAATTGCCTATCTATATCAGTCCAGTGCATGACTAGGTGCCTATCTTCTGTATGCTACTTATATTACTGAATAATCTGGTAGTACAAGGTGAAGCACAATAGTATAGCAATTACTTTACAGAAAAAGAAAACTCAAACTATTGCGGATAGTTGAGCTCCTTTGTTAAAGTTTCTAATTCCTTTTTGTCTTCATTTTTCCAAGGGTTCGAGTATTTTGGCAGATTCAGGCACCGAACAGCTAGAGTTCATTGCTCCATCCTTGGAACAACAGCTCCCATTCTGGTATGCAAAAAATTTACTTGAAAGGTCATGCATAATTTTGTTTAGAAGCAAAAGCTTTGAAATATATTATTTCTAAAATAACACTTCTCTTCTCTTGCAGCTTACAGTGGAACACTTCTCTTCTCTTGCAGCTTACAGTGGAACACTTCTCTTCTCTTGCAGCTTACCGTGGGTGTTTAAGTGCTGGAAATATGATGGTGAACAAAAATTATAATTAGTGTTGGTTGTGTCATCATGTTGGCTTTTAATGTTAATTTATATATGAAGGATGAATGTAATTTAAGTATTCATAGTGTATTTTAAGCTTTCTTTTAATGTTGGCATATACAAAAACTACCTTATAGAATTTATGTCCAAAATTGAATGTATTATTTTGATATAATATTTGAAGCCTTCTCATATTTGAAGATAGTGTAAATTAGAATGTAAAATAGTGTTAAATTGGTTCATTTATTATTTTTATTATTGCTTTAAATTTATTATTTAATATTGTTTTAATTAAAAAAATTAAGATATAATTAAAATTTTTTATGACAATTTAATATTAATTAACCGAATAAACCGATCCATTTTAACCAATAAACCGATTAAACCGAATCCGATCAAA